TATTTATTACAATTAAATGTGTATAAGATTGTATTGTGCGCTTTTCCTTACACAAATAGACATCTTCATAAAAAATATTAACAGTAAGGTTACATTACCTGAACAACTTATTACATACATTGGCATGTCGTCATAGTGACATTTTTACATTTTTTGACACTAATAGTTTTATTAGTGATTTTTATTTGACAAAAGATACAATGTATCTTTCTAAATCTTCTAAAAATAAAATAGCTACTTTAGTGGCTTATAATATTGACTACATGAACAGTTTACATGGTAAACTTAAACATAAAAATACTGACATAACAAATAATTCTACTAATATTTATGACATAAGTACTATGACTGCAGATTTAAACTGCTCACAAAGACAAAGGGAAAGCAATCAGAATTAATAATTGTTCATCAGAACATACAAAGTTTTCCTGGCAGCGAGTTAATTATACAATTATTTTTAGAAAAGTATAATATTGATATTGTCTGTTTCACAGAACATTGGCTTAAAGAGAGCAATATGATGTTCAATTTAAATAATTATAACGTTGTCAGCTGCTTCAATAGAAAGTCAGTTAACAGAGGCGGGTCTATGATAATTGCAAGAAATAATATTAAAGTAAAAGAACGTGCTGACATTGTTAGACTTTCTATTGAGTGTTGTATAGAATTATCTTGTATAGAACTAGAAAATTATATCCTTATATGTGTGTACAGGTTCCTAATAGTGATTACAATGTTTTTGAAGGGGTGATGGAGGATATTTTAAAAAAAGTATTTAATAGTATTAAAAAAATTATTGTCTGTGGAGATTTTAATGTTGATATTCTTTGTAACACACCCACATGTACAAAATTTATTAGTTTATTTCAGTCATTTGATTTAAGTCATGTCTTTCATGAACCCACTCGTGTAACTGCCACGTCTGCTACTTGTCTTGACAATGTTTTTTGTAACTGTGAGTATACAGAAAAATTCATAATAAATAAACTTCCTTCAGATCACTGTGGTCAAGTTGTTAAGTTTAGCAGTCAAATCAATAAAGTCAACAATAATAAAAAATCAAAAAGACAAATAAATGTTTACAATATTAATAAATACAAAAGCGCTATTAAAAATAAATTGGACTTGCTGTTACAATCTAGTAATAATCCTGACTATCTTTACACCAAGCTAATCAATATTTTATCAGGAGAATATGAACAATTTTTCAAGAAAAAGGAAGTTCATGTTAAATCTAAATTCACGGAATGGGCAACAGTAGGAATACTTAAAAGTAGAAATATTTTGTTTGATTTATACGATCAAAAAAAATATCGATTTGATGACAAATTCATCACTTATGTGAAAAATTATTCTAAAATTTTTAAAAAAGTTTGTCTTTTGGCTAAGTCTAATTATTTTAATAAACAAATTAAGCAGTCTTCTGACAAAATTAAAACCATCTGGAGCATTATAAATAAAGAAACTGGAAGATCTAAAATAGCCTGTAATCAATTTACATTAAATTATGATAATAAATTAATAACAACAACAAAGGATGTAGTTAATATTTTTGAAGATTTTTTTGCTAATATTCCGATTGATATTACATCTTCTCTGGACTCATCTCCATCTCGAGCAAAAACATTACTAGAGACTAATATCGGTTGTTGTTCTTTAAGATTTAAATTTTCACATGTTAGCCCCTTTCATATCATAAAAATATTCAAACAGCTAAATTTAAAAAATACGGAAGACCTTTGGGGCATGTCTGTAAAAGTAGTTAGTTCGTTCATAGATATTGTTGCTCCATATCTAGCCACTATTTTTAATAAATGTATTGATAATGGCGTTTTTCCACAATTCATGAAATTTAGCAAATTAATCCCACTATTTAAATCAGGAGATAAATTTAAGCCAGGGAACTATAGACCTATATCTATTTTGCCAGTTCTAAGTAAGGTGTTTGAAAAGATAATGTTAAATCAAATGTTACAACACTTCAGGGTTAACGGACTGCTTCACAGTCAGCAATATGGTTTCACCGCCGGCAAGTCTACCACTGACGCGGGTGTAGCGCTAATAACACATATTTTCGAATCTTGGGAGATGTCACAGGATGCACTCGGAGTTTTTTGTGACCTATCAAAGGCATTTGATTGCGTGGATCATAAAACGCTTTTGTACAAGCTCGAACATTATGGTATAAGAGATAATGATCTAAAATTAATGAAAACTTATTTAAAGGATAGGGTCCAAACTGTAGATATTGACGGTGTAAAATCTAAGGTAGCTAATATTAAGATGGGCGTTCCACAAGGGTCAATCTTAGGCCCGTTTCTCTTTTTAATCTACATAAATGACCTCCCCTTTATGGTAGAGAAAATTGCAGATATAGTGCTGTTTGCGGATGATACTTCATTAGTGTTTAAAATTGGACGTCAATGAAATCAATTAGACGATGTAAATTGTGCTATGTCTGCAATATTAAATTGGTTCACATGTAATAACCTATTATTAAATTCCAGCAAAACAAAGTGTATAAAATTTACACTTCCTAATGTAAGACTAATAAATACACAGTTATTGCTTAATGACGAAATAGTAAATTTTGTTAACGATACGGTTTTTTTAGGTATAACAGTGGACTCGATATATATATATATATATATATTTCAAAATTGGCCAGTAGACTCAGTTCTGCTGCATATGCAATTAGAAGAATTAGGCAATTAACAGATGTGGCGACGGCTAAAATTGTATATTTTAGTTATTTCCATAGCATAATGTCTTATGGCATACTGCTGTGGGGTAAAGCACCGATATAAATACTATATTTGTTTTACAAAAGAGAGCCATACGTTCTATTTATGGTATGGGTTCAAGAGAGTCATTACGTCAGTGCTTTAAAGAATCAAATATCCTCACCGTCACTTCACAATACATTTATGAAAATATCATGTATGCACGGAAGAACTTAGAGAGTTTTAAAAAAAGCTCAAAGACTGTACAAGTAGAAACTTACGCAATATAAATAAGCTAATTTTACCAAATGCCGTCTGCACAAAATTAGTAACTCATTCTATGGTAATTGCGTAAGATTTTATAATAAACTGCCAGAATCTGCATTAAATCTGACAGAGAGGCAATTCAAATCTTATATTAAACAATTTTTATGTAAAAAATATATTACAGGATAGACGAATTCATAGATGACAACATATCAAGTAAATAATTAGTTTATTAGCATACAACGTTATAATTTAATTTTCTCATTGCTTTCTTGATTTAATTGATTGATTTTATTCAATATGAAAGCGTTACAAGGTTTTTGTATTGATTGCCGCATGCATTCTTATGTAAAATTTGAATACTATAACTATCAGATGGCAATTGTAAGTAGCTTTGACGTAGTCTAGTGTTTTGAGTAGTCATGCTAACTAAAATGTCCAGACTTGTGGCGGCGTGGTGGGCATTGGGATAATCGATAAAATATGGTCGAGCGCAGTGATGGCTGGCTCATCCGTCATACTCGTGAACAAAGTGCTGCTTGACGGACTGGTCTGCTCTAATCACTATCTGATTTTCTTATTAATTGTTTAAAACAGTGGGTTATATATTCAATATTTTTTTCTATTTGAGTATTTAATATATATGCTAATTGGTGGTTTGTATTCACACACTTAAACTTAAAAATGTAAAGTAATAATAAAATTATTTAAAATACAGTTTTGACAAGTTTCTTGCTTGTTCTTCTTGTGATGAGGCAGCTTTCCGAACGAGTGGTATATTAAAAAAAATGTGATATCTATTCAAAAGTGCTTCAATGTAAGTTTATTTGAATAAATGATTTTCTATTCTATTCTATTCTACAGTATAAGAGGTAAGAGGCATGCGATAATCGATATAGAAATCGCTACGCACTCAATACGGATGTAGACTCAATCAATCATTACATAGTATAAAACAAAGTCGCTGTCGCTGTCTGTCCGTCCCTATCTATGCTTAAATATTTAAAACTACGCAACGGATTTTGAGGCGGTTTTTAGTGATTCAAGAGGAAGGTTTATATATATAATACATGTATACCCGTGCGTAGCCGGGGCGAGTAGCTCCTCTCTGTTATGAGGGGGTCAAAAGTGGCTCCAAATGTTCATGTAAAACTACACACGGTGCTGCTCGCCAGTTCTCTTACTTGAACTTGGCTTTGACACGCTCCCGCGTATCTAGATTTGCTAAAAAGGATTCCGCTCAGCGTATTCCTCAGTTAGTAATAATTTCATTACCTTATCTCACTTTTTAAGCGAAATATAACTTACAAAGTAAGCTATAAAGTGGATGAAATAGATTAGACAGAAATACCCACGCTGTCGACTTCATACAAAGTCCAATTCGGTAAAGAATAATATTTACAATAAGATATCAAAGCATATTTTGAAGTGCTCGATAAATTTCAAACGACTTTAATGATACATTCACCCACGCCGTATGTTGATTCAAATATCATGGTAATATACTAAATGTCAAGTTAAATAATGTGTAGGTACACCATAATGTCAATAGTTGACAATTATTCTAACAGTTTGTGTTGAATTGGTTAGTTAGAGTAGTAGTAGTAGTAAAATAGAAATAGAAATAAAAATAATTTTTATTCAAATAAACTTAATATAAGCACTTTCGTAGTACGTACCGATTTCTATGTTGATTATCGCATGCCTCTTACTTGTTATAAAATATCTTATTGAATTAATTATATAGAAAAAAACATATATTCAAAAGAGCAACACACAAGTTTCTATAACACAAACTCTGTCTAGTACCTATAACACAAACTCTGCTTACCTTGGAACTGTGATTTTGTTAGTTGGCGCTGTGTGAATTGTTCTGAGCTTATTGTTATTCTCTTTCTAATGCCTATATTTGTCAACAGAAGAGAAGAAGACAGAATGCGGGTCCGATAGTTATATGCGGGCGATGCGCCGCGCGGGAGGGCGCGCCCTCCGTCCTGCGACGCGCGTAATATGCGCTCGCTGAACGAGTCAGCGTGCGCGGCGCTGCTGGAGGACGTGCGCTGGGACGAGCCCGCCAGTCTCGTGAGCCTGGCCGTGCTGGCCCTCATTGATGTACTGGTCATCGCCGGTAAGAATTTGGATACTAATACACTGTAATGGCCCTTCCGATCGATCCCCCTTCTGAATCAAACGGTGGCCGTGCTGGCTCTCATTGATGTACTGGTCATCGCCGGTAAGAATTTGGATACTAATACACTGTAATGGCCCTTCCGATCGATCCCCCTTCTGAATCAAACGGTGGCCGTGCTGGCCCTCATTGATGTACTGGTCATCGCCGGTAAGAATTTGGATACTAATACACTGTAATGGCCCTTCCGATCGATCCCCCTTCTGAATCAAACGGTGGCCGTGCTGGCCCTCATTGATGTACTGGTCATCGCCGGTAAGAATTTGGATACTAATACACTGTAATGGCCCTTCTGATCGATCCCCCTTCTGAATCAAACGGTGGCCGTGCTGGCCCTCATTGATGTACTGGTCATCGCCGGTAAGAATTTGGATACTAATACACTGTAATGGCCCTTCCGATCGATCCCCCTTCTGAATCAAACGGTGGCCGTGCTGGCCCTCATTGATGTACTGGTCATCGCCGGTAAGAATTTGGATACTAATACACTGTAATGGCCCTTCCGATCGATCCCCCTTCTGAATCAAACGGTGGCCGTGCTGGCCCTCATTGATGTACTGGTCATCGCCGGTAAGAATTTGGATACTAATACACTGTAATGGCCCTTCCGATCGATCCCCCTTCTGACTCAAACGGTGGCCGTGCTGGCCCTCATTGATGTACTGGTCATCGCCGGTAAGAATTTGGATACTAATACACTGTAATGGCCCTTCCGATCGATCCCCTTCTAACTCAAACGGGGATCGAAATTACGTTCGAACGCCTAGCGGTGCCCTCAGACTAAAGTCGTATCCGTCAGGCGGTAGCTGGTTATTACACTGTAATGGGCCCTTCGATCATCCCGAACTGGACGGGGGTCGTCCCAATTCAAACGGGGATCGAAATTACCACGACCTGAGCCGAAGTTCGGACACTCTAGCGGAGCCCTCAGACTAAAATCGTATCCGTCAGGCGAGAGTTGGCCTTCAACCGCTCCATAAGTCCTTCCGCGGGTTTGGAGCGCCATTTATACTCGCCCCCTAACGTCCGGTGAAGCTGTAAAGGTCAGCTGCGGCAAACAGCATTAGAGTAGTCCGAAAAAAAAAATTTAATGGAACACATGAGGCCACCAGTCTCGTGAACCTGGCTGTGCTAGCCCTCATTGTACTGGTCATTGCCGGTAAGAATTTGATCACTAATTGTTACAATGCAATGGAAGAAATCCGCACAGTTCAATTTCTTGCCAGTTCCTCTCAAATGAATTTACATACTGAACTGGACGGTAGGGAAAGGATATTAATACAAAACACTTTACTTTCATAAGCGGCTAAAATATCCTTTATGAATATTTTGATTTGATTTGATTCCAGAAAAAAAATCTTTACAAAAAAAATTACTTATTCTACTACTCTCTGAAAACGCTGCCTTACTAATACTATAAACGCGAAAGTTTGTTAGTATGGATGGATGGATGAATGGATGCATGTTTGTTACATACATATCATAACAGCCTGTAATAGACCAAGTCTCAAGACGAAGGTTTACGATCAATGTGTGTTGCCAGTGATGACTTACGGAACAGAGACGTGGTCGCTAACTATGGGCCCCATCAACAAGCTCAGAGTCACTCAGAGGGCAATGGAGAGGGCTATGCTTGGAGTTACTCTGCGTAATCGAATCAGAAATGAGGAGATCCGCAGAAGAACCAGAGTGTCCGACATAGCCCGAAGAATTGCGACTCTGAAGTGGCAATGAGCAGGGCACATAGCTCGTAGGACAGATGGCCGTTGGGGCAGTAAAGTCCTCGAGAAGATGCAGCGTGGGAAGGCCTCCAGCAAGGTGGACCGACGATCTGGTCAAGATCGCTGAAAGGCATTGGATGCGAGCAGCGCAGGACCGATCGTCGTGGAGATCTTTGGGGGAGGCCTATGTCCAGCAGTGGACGTCTTCCGGGCTGCGATGATGATGATGATGATGATGATGTAATAGATCAACATGAATAAAGATATATATTGATTTCATTAAATTTTGACTCTTTCACGCAAAAACTACTGAACGGATTTTGATGTTCTTAATTTCACAGTAATATACATTACATATCAAAACAACACATACTATAAATTACACGCGGGTAAAACCTCGGGCAATAGTTAGTTATTACTCTAACAATAATGTAAGCTGAGTAAAACGGAACGTAAATATTTACCGAAAAATTTCGATAGAAATTATTACTACCGCGCTTGAGTGAAGGGAGACGTAAGGTCTCTGAATAGAGACAGAACGAATATTGAATACTAACATCGTAATTTTAATTTTATTACCAAGTATCTCTCAAGATTATTTATATCTAAATATATATACTTGATACGGCACGATGATTTCATGAAAATTATTATTGAGGGGAAAATAGAAGGAATGAGGGGGAGGGGAAGACCAAGGAATAGCTACATCAAACAAATTGAGGACAAAATGGGAGTCGTGTCGTATCAAGAATTAAAGAGCATGATGGAAGATCGCGGAAAGTGGCAAGAGCTCCACCGACAAGAGCGTAGCTCTTAAATTATGAATGAATGAATGAAATATATATAACTCAAAGGTGACTGACATAGTGATCTATGAACGCACAGCCCAAACCACTAGATGGATCAGGCTGAGACTATGCATGCATAAAGCTACTATGACGTAGGCATCCCCTAAAAAAGGATTTTGGTAAATTCTACCCCTAAGGGGATAAATTAACGCGAGTGAAGCAAGAAGGGGATAAATTAACGTGAGTTTATATATATAGGTGTCTATGTCTAACATTAAATGAAAACAATATCTAGTAGAATTATGTACGTTATAGACTATAAAGCTACTATGACGTAGGCATCCCCTAAGAAAGTATTTTGATAAATTTCATCCCTAAGAGGATAAATCAACGCGAGCGAAGCCGCGGGCAAAAGCTAGTTGGCTTATATATTCGATACGCTAAATGCAAATCGAGCTATTAGTAATCGATTTTCTAGTCCATAAAGAATCTGTAAGCTTTCACCTTCAAAAGGTAGGATTGCGTTATTAAGTTTTCAATCACGTTCTCGTTGAATATAGTGGGTGACCAGGGTTGCCACACTTCATCATCATTACATAGTATAAAACAAAGTCGCTGTCGCTGTCTGTCCGTCCCTATGTATGCTTAAATCTTTAAAACTACGCAACGGATTTTGAAGCAGTTTTTTTAATAGATTGAGCGATTCAAGAGGAAGGTTTATATATATAATACATGTACACCCGTGAAAAGCCGGGGTGAGTAGCTAGTAAAACTATATTAAAACCACAAAATTATTATCTTCACATAGTACAAAATTAAGTCACTTCCGCTGTTTGTTCGCTTAGATCTTATAAACTACACAATCTGTTTTAATGAGGTTTTTAGTAATAGATAGAGGACAGATATGATAACTCAATTTTTTTGTATACCCGTGCGAAACCGGGAACATAATACAATAAAAAATTTTTATATATCAAATTATTTGAATAAAGATTTCCAACTTTTACAATCTTACTTTTTTTTTATTTACCGCTCATTCAGAAAGCTGTGTCGTCACAAAATAGAACGATCGAGAAACTTGCAAGATATTTATAATTGACCGTAATAAATCAGTGCTGATTTCGACTTGTAAAATGTGAACTTACAATGATTATTTAAAAGAGCAACGCGCAACGCAAGTTTCTTGCTCGTTCTTCTTGTGATGAGACAGCTTTCTGAATGAGCGATAGATAAAAAAAAATGTTATGACTATTCAAAAGAGCTTAAATTAAGTTTATTTGAATAAAAGATTTTCTCTTCTATTTTATTCTATCTTAATCGTTGATATTATATATATACATTAACGATTAAGATAGAATATTGTAGTTTTATTTAGATCACACTTAGATTGTGGAGTTAACTACCTGCCGAGGTTTTCTCACGAGACTACAGCATGTTTTTCAGAATATATTAAGTTTCTTAAGAGTCGGCAGCATACACCCCTGGTGTTCAGGCGTCTGACGATAACCGTTTACCATCAGATGGCCCGTATGCTTGTTTACCACCTACGTGGAAAAAAAACGTTGCTCTTATAAATTAATTGTTGTACCTTTATATCATCATCATCATCATCATCAACCCACTGCAGTCCACTGCTGGACATAGTAAGTTTATATGTTTAAGTTGAAATGTGTGAATACAAACTACCAACTAGCGCTAATTCACTATAAACATAAACAATATATTTGTGCATACAAGAGTTTGTCGATCCGTTAAAAATATATAATAATTTTATTATAACACAAGGGACAAACGAGCATTGATGGAATGATTACCGCCGCCCATCAGTCGTTCACACACAGTACAAACATTTGTATGATTGTCTGTCTTGGTTTGGGTGGTTTATGTATTTGTTTAAAAATACATTATGAATGTGTTTACAAAAAAATGTATCTATGTATTTATATCAGTTGTCTAGTAACACAAGCTCATTAGCAACTAGATGGCGTTTCGCATTATCTATTATTAACTCAATTTTTTTTCAACCTTGAACATCAGTATTTTTATTTATCAAATTGAAATATCGATTTCCAATATTACAATCTCTTACAAGCATAAGAATATCTAAGGAAAAAGTCCAAGAATATCGTCTTTCTACGTTGGTGATCCTGCAACCCAGCACGTACTACATTTTTTTTTTTTTTGTTCTGCTGTTGAATGTTACCAGCATACGTTTCTCTGACTGACTTTATACGTATTAGAGATAAGTGGGTATTACGTACCTTTTTAATAACATATGGATTACTTAGATGGCGGTCGTCCACCGTGAGTTTTCTATAAACTTTTTGCCACGCACTACCACATTTTGGAATCTTCTTCAGTCGTTCACTCTTGGAAGAGTGGTGGCTTTTATGATGATATCTGTTTATTGTGCTCATTAGCAACCGAGCTC